TTTTGCGAATATAGTTTGTAAAAACCTGCAGTGTCTTGGCTGATCTGTCAGCCATAGACAGTTTGCCCCATAATTTGGGTCCTACATAACGCAGAGAGTGCTTTCCATAAGTAACAGTGTTGTATCTAGGAGTAAAAAAATCTGATTGTCTCAGGTTGTATGCAGAAATATGCTCATTAAAAATGTTACAGATGCTATTTGGACATAGTCTATGTTTAACTTTATACATGAGAATACAGATGTCTTGTAAACGCCTGTTCGCTAGAGTTGGCAACTTGGCTCTCCCCAGTAGCTGAGTATAGCTAGCATGCTTGTCCTTGTAAACGGCCCTCAAGCCTCTTTCCTGTAGTCGTTGTACTGCGTTCCGTTAGGAAGACACTGCACACCTATGGTATAACCCCCACTCCTCCCCGAGGTATGAATAGACAGCCTGATAAAATGCTCGGTGGCAAAAAAATTGTTATGGATATAGTTAATAGAGGGGAATGATGATGAAGCCCGGCAAACATCAAAGGATCAAACACATATGCCAAGATTTATATGGAAGGTCCGCGATCGTGCACAATCTTTTGTTTTGCGCTCATACTCTATGCATAAATAACGTAACCGCCAAATCGTTAATTTTCCATTGGTTAGTTCCTCAGTGTAAACAACTGTTGTGTTTTGTGCACGGTCAAGGCCAAACAAGCGAACAAAAAAATGCAACAAAGAAATTTGTCGGACTTAATTACCATTCCCCTCTGTCAACTGTGTGATGAACTAGCACTTCCTCCAAGGGAAGAAGCAATAGTCATTGATGCCTCATACTATAGAAGCCAGAGATAAAAGATGGTCCAATGAGCCATCTAACACCGATACAGATAATGCACTATACAAGTTTTAGTAACTCACTGCGACTGAAATCCATTTTTGTTCAATTATGACGATCTAGATAATGTGGTTTAGCAGTGGAGGGACCAAGTCTGTTCTGCATCAGGATGACGGACTGGAAAACATCAACTGTCTGTTTGCTGGAACCAAAGAGCTTTTATTCATTGATTATCACAAGTACAAACACGTGGTATGTTACAGTTAATCAGACTTCCCTATGTCAGTTCTGTACATAGGCATGTGCCGCTCCTCTGGGTATTTTCCGGCTTGTTGATTTGTTTTCAGGCTGTAAAGATGCAGGTAGTTGTTGCCACTGTAGTCTGAAAGTGGGCAATTAAGTAAACCTACTCTCTGATCTCTTTCCGTCGGGCTTTAAACGAATAAACCGATAGAGAGAAGGAAGCAAAACTGTTATTCTACACGATAACGACCACAACGGATTACTTTCAATATCAATCACTGATGTAAAGTTCACTTGTTGTTAGGTGCCCATTGATTTCCCGTCTGGACGATACTCTGGTGTGGACGTGGACAGGTATGGTGCAGTTTGCATGACAATCCTGAAATTACAGAATTATAATAATCTATAATCACAGAGCAATTTGAAAGGTCCACACTTAGCATAACATACCAACAAAAGAGGATGTTCATCCTTTCTTAAAACCCATGAGAAACCTTTGGCAATCTTGTTGCCAGGGTCTTTCTTTCGCAGCAAGAGGAGCAGCCCTAGAAACGAGGATAACCGTTTACGGTTAGAAAGCACGCGAAACGTCATACAGAGTGGTGTAAGGTGTGTGGCCGATATGGAAGCTCCAGTGGGTAAAATGAGTGGGCAAAAGATGCCTGCGTTTAGCAAATTTCAAAAAAGAGGAGTAAGTCTCCTAGGGCATAAATAGTAACATACTTGAGAAAAGCGTGACTGCTATGACAGGGCTACAAAGTATAACAGGACTATGAAACTCCTCAAGCCTCCGTTGCCCTAGAAGAAAGATACAAACAGTTACGCCACACTATCCTGATTTTTTTTCCTTTTTTACAAAGTCCTTTCGCAGCTCGTCTTCCGGTCAAGACTTTATGAAATACAGCACTTATTTCATCGGCAACCAGCTGGTTTCATATTGATATTATGTTTCTATCCCATCTCAAGTTTTACTAGGACCTAACACCTTCTCAGAGTTAAAATAATGTTAAGAACGTTTTATTTATTTCTTCAGAGTTGACTTTGTGAAGTATCCCGGTCTTATTAATGTCGAGTATTACAATGTAACTATGCAAGCGGGAGACTGTTTGTATATTCCACATCGTTGGTAAGTGACGAAAGAGCCTGGTCTCACAGTGGTTTTACTATAGCAATGACAGCTTGCCAGTCAAAACAACGGCAAATAGATTAATCGATAAACCAATCAGAGCGCGATATATATATATATATATATATATATAATATGCAGCTAGCGCTAAGCGCGGAAAAACCCGTTATTGCGGTTTCACTCCTGATTGTTTGAAAAAATAGCTCTGTATCCACTGTGTTCAGGGAGGCCGCGCGAACGAGTAGTTAGGGCGCTGGACTTGAAATCCGGAGATCGCGGGGTCAAGTCCCGCTATTACCGCTGGAGTTGTTTCTCGGTATCATGCTTGTAAATAGCCAACTGGTCTGCCTCGCACCTCATTATGATTATTTGATATTTGTTTCTTTCAGTTTAAGTGGCATGCTTGTGAACTAGCTAGGTTAAGCTAGCGTATTGACCACTATAATCAACAACATTGGAACATTTTTGAACATGTTTTTTTTGAATTCGTCCTTATTTAACTGCAGTTAAATGACCAAAAACTCTTCAACCTACAGTCCAATGTAATAATGATCATATCCGCCTTCAGATATCAACAAGAAACTTATTTGCTCAGTGACATCTAGATATGCTGGGTAGGATGGGTGTGAGCTTACCTTTTCCGATGAAATTTATAATGAGATACTGATTTTGCTTGTACTAAATTAGTCAGCATTTGTCCATTAAATGCCAGAATTCGTTGCATCGATCGAAGTTCTAGCGATTCGCTTTCTTGACTTTCCTCTCGCAGTTTTGTCTACCCATGTATGGCGTTTGTGTTTTTCCTACAGCTTTAAGCCTTATATTACAGCTTTTATCCGATTAGTTTAGTGCATGTAAGAATCTTTTTTCCTCACTGATCAGGTTTCACCAAGTTCGCTCATATGATCGCAACATAGCAGTGAATCTATGGTGGAAGTACACACCAGAGTTTGTTCCTGAGGACTGTGACGGAGTCGAACCAAATCAAACTTTAGACAAGGTTACCTTTACCTCACTTGACAACGACCTCGAACAATCGGAAATTACCGTGCTGTAAGTAAAAACATATAAACTTGCGTGTCAAGGATCTGGAAACAGTTAAACATCATTAAAAGAAGAGAACAACTTAGGCTGAGACAGGGTCAGAAATTTTACTGACTTATTGGAGACTGGCAGAGAGTTGGGGTGGGGCCCAGCATGCCATGATCACATGTAAACAGGAGTGGAAAACCACTGGGAACTTTGTCATAAGAGTTTCCATTTATATAAAAACAATTATTTATTGTAGACCGGGCAGAACTAGCTACAAGCCAGAATGCTTTTGATGTGGAGCAGAGAACCCATTAACCACAGTTTAAATGCATAAACTGCCAATTAGATATCCCAAGTTAGTAAAGTGACTGGCTCTTTCTATTTCTTTGTTTGGATAATGAATAAGTGAGGTGCAATTTTGTTCTATTGCAGGACTCATTTACAGTACTTTCTTGGAAAAAGGGACGAAATTTCCTTCAAGCAATTTGTGAAAAAATTGAAAAAGGTACCGCTAAAATACTTTGTGCTTTGCTCTAGCTCGAAATAAAGCAAACTAAAACTTAACAACACTAGCAGATACGATCAGAAGGCAACAAAAAAAAATAAACTCGAGTAAGGGATTCAAGATAGGGGTCAAAGCTGGTGAGAAGCTACTTTACCATCGCATTACCAGCGCTGTTTGAAGCAGGTATTTTGGGCAGACTGGTAAATTGTTTGGGAAAAATAGTAAATATATTAGGAGTAGCTGCGATAGAGATGCATTTCCCGGGAAAGGGATGGAAACAATTCTCCTAGACACTTCAGGCTATCTGCATCGAACACCAGATGCGGAATAAAGGCCAACTGGTGTTTTGGCGTTATTCTATACTGATCCTTGCCTATTTTGGCGTGTTTCATGACCGTACTTCTTAGGATCCCAGTTTTGGCAACAGCAAAGAAATCGAGTGGACAGGGGAGATGAAATCAACAACGAAAAAGGTAACATGTAGATGTGCTTTTTCAAAAAATCACTGGTCCATTTTGTTGTAACCATTGTAACAATGTGTCAAAACTTAAGGCGTCCGCACAGTACAAGTTAAAATATTCGACGCAACTGATAGTAATGGATGAAATTATATTTTTGGTTTGATTTTGAGTTCAAGACCGCCAGAGTAACGTAGTAAATGTCATCCTCTCTTTTCCTAACTGATCCCTTAATAATTAATCTTTCGTTCTAGTTATTTAAATTAATGGACATGGATGGGGACAGATCCTTCTCTTCTGGTGACCTTGAAAAACTAGAAAATGCAGACGATGTAAGTACAAACTATAAAGAAAGGACTAATCAGCTGGGAGACTGCATTTTGCGGGGTCGGACAGGATAAATGGGAAGTATTGCCTGATCGGCGCACAGAATATGAAATGAGGTTACAAAATCGGCTAGTGTGTGATCTGCCATAAGATTCCGAGAATACATTGGGGGAAGGGAGTTGCAGTTGTTTAAAATAAACTTTTTCAGGTATCTTTGAGGAATTTTGCGCTCCACAGGTAAATAGGCTTATATTTTTTTAAGAACTGTGCGCATGGTAGCCGCTAAACAAAACGAATTAAGAACATGACGAAACGAAAGAAACGTAAATAGGCCCTTGAAAGTCTTAACAAATATCAAACCCATCATGTAGAAAATAATGTAAAATACAAAACATGCTAACAATTGCACGATACGGTATTTCCAAACAGAAGTAGTTCACTCATTCAACTATTTGATGGTTAATTTAATTCAACTTGTTCTTATTTACTCCAGACAACCATGAACGCCCTTAGTAATGAATACTACAGACTGTACGACTTGGTAGAAAAAGCAATAGACTACATTAGTGAGAACGATGAAGAACTATATGAAGAAGATGACAACGGTGGTGCTGCTGACGATTATGATATTGAGCCAATTAAAAAAACCGCTGATGAAAAGACTCGGGAAGAACTCTGAGGAACAGTTTTTAGCTTACTTAGTTGTCATGCAGTTCAAGAATTTGGAGCACCGACGTTCTTGTGATATCACAGGGAGCACACAATCTTGTTGAATAGGAAGAGCGTAAATAAAGGAATGAAGAGAACGAATAGTTAGCCTTTGTCTCCTCTTGTTATTACTTACGCGACCTTACAGGGAACACCGCTACCTACAAGTTCTTTGTAACACAGTAGTGCTAAACTCGTACTTAGGCCATTTCGCGCTCTGCAAATTTTTTTTTTTGGTTTACATATAACGTTGACTATATGTAAACCAAAAAAAAAATTTGCAGAGCGCGAAATGTCCTAGGTACGAGTTTAGCACTACAGTGTTACGCGGGACTTGTAGGTAGCGATTTTCCCTGTAAGGTCCCGTAGAAAATAACAACAGGCAAAGGTTAACTATTCGTTCTTTTCATTCCTTTATTTACTCTCTTCCTATTCAACAAGAGTGTGTGCCCCCTGTGGGGGTATTTTAAAACAAAATGCGATTTTTTGAACATAAATGAGTTTATGTTTTTGAACTGTTACAATTAGGAGGTAAAAATAGTATAAGTATTGTCTATGGTGTATGTGTTTTGATTGTTTCGTTAATTTAATTTTTCGCCGGAAACGACGTCCTCGTTCCAGACCCTCCGCGATTACTTGACGTCGTCGTCGTCCCTCAGTTCGTAGCCTGAGAATTATCCTCGGCGGAGACGAGCGACAGCTGGAAATACGTCTGCGTTCTCAGGCTGTCCCTTTCGTCGCCCTATTGCCTAATTTTAACAACTATACACTTGACGCACTTAGCCGTGGATCAAACGGATCGCGCTACTACTCTCCCCGTGGTTTGGATTCAGTGAAAATGAATCCAGTTGTAATCAGGTCGTCTCGAAAGAAGATGCAAACAAGGTGCAACTGTACATATGGGATCTTGTACAATTCGATCTTCTGATACTTGCCACAACCACAAATTAAGAATGAATAAAAAGTCAAGCATGGTAACTAACTAAACGTCACCTTCCACTTCTTTTGTAACTTCGTATTATTATCTTCAAAACCCAGTGTAGCTGAACGCTAAGTTGCAAATAGATCCAAATAAAAGACCGCAGTAGAATGCACAATAATTATCATTGTGATTCAACTCAGTGAAAATAAAGTAGTTACAAAACAATCTAAATACAAAATCATCCAACGACACCAAAGCTTAAAATCTGTAGGGCACCCATACTGCATGATCCTAATCCAGTTCGATAATCCAAAAATCCGCAATAACTGATGGTTGAGACAAAAAAACAGTAACTTTCCATGACAACGGTTTGTCTAAAAACTGAAAACTGCCAATATCGCAGTTACATATTGAATACTTAGTTATGTAATTCCCTAGAGAATCACGCAAGCGCACGTAAAAAATGAGCCTCGTATAACAATGAACTTGATTCTTATTTCTACAGCCAGAAAAGTGATTCAATGCCGTTTTAGGTGGTTTCCGGTGAATTGAACCACTTTCTCTGCGGGGAAATCGTTTAGTCATGAAACGTGAACAGCACTAGTCTGCTTCAGGTTTTCTAGTTGAGAAGTAGCCCGCCTGTACACGTCTACTATTCCCTTTCACGCGTGAAAGAAGAAAGTAGACGTCTGCACCCAGTTGAGGAGTGGCGCAAAGAAGGGCGAGATCAGAGGAAATGGGTCAAGAGGGTTGAAGGGCTCTCCGTACTCTGCCCCTAAAGTTCCCTCACGCGTAATTCACACTAGCCGTTCTGCAGCACTGTTAGTGATCAGCGTAGACGACTTGGTATTAGAAAGCAAAATGTTCTTTTATCCTTGCTGAAAAAATATTCAAAAGTCGAGTCGTAATTTTTGTTCTTACTGGACATCGGAAATTTCCATTACAGAAAATCAAACACTACATGTTTGCGAGATCAACAACAACAATAACTTTATTTATCATCTCCTCTTTTCTTTCAGACCTTCTCGAACTCATTAGTAATTCATCAAGCTTAAGCAAAAGAAATCACGACCGTGTCTGATGTGAATTAGCGTAGGTTATACGATTTTTCTCTGCGTTTTCTCCTCAGTTTTAGTTTCGATTGAGAAGATATATCAAACACGCCAGACCGTGTCTGACCACATTTCTAAACACCTCGAAGTTTGTCATAAATACTCTGCTACGCGTCGTATTTTCAGCTTTCTTCACGGTGTTTGGAAATGTGGTCAAACACGGTCTTGAATGTTTAAAAGCGCAGAAAGAACGCGGCCATCTTTCCTCTCGCGCTTTCTTTCGCATCACGCTCGACGGACTTTGAATTACCGGAGGGTCTGCTCGTAGTCTAATTAATTATTCACTCTTAGAAACCTTCAACACTTTGATTTGCTTTCAAAGTGTTTAGAAACATCTGCTGCACACGCAGTTTCTCCAATTCAACAGGTTGTCTATCACCCTCTCCCAGTTGCCCTGTACATCCTGCGAAGGCCCAGCGGCACATATCATTTTACCCATCCTGCACTTGGGGTAGTCATATTTTAGGCGAGGCCACTAAGGTACGCGGAAGAACCAACATGGCGGACACGAGGGGTCGAGGATCTTCTCCTTCAAGAGCTGTAAGAAATCGGTCCAGAGAGAGAGAGCGAGTGAAAGAACGAGAAGCAAACGATCAAAAGGTTACAATTGACAGAGAGAAGGTACATATTTTAATTTACATGGTTTCTTTGAATTTCTGGTCTCGAGAGATTGGAACTCTAAATGTACCGTAATCACAGCTTTTACAGAAGCTGGAGGAAGCTTTTGTGTAAATCAAAGATCGAGAGATGGAAGTTAATGAAATCTTCATAATACTTTAGTGACGATTCTCATAATAGACATTGTCGATTGTGTTATACAGAATTCTTTATAACATAAGCTTATATTCTTTTTAGACTTGTCCGTTGCTTCTTAGAGTGTTTTGTAATCAAGGTCGACATCACCGGTAAGCTTAAGTTTCAAGTCAGCTTGCTCAAGCTACATACACGTATCTAACCTCATATCATTAGCCAAATGACAGACCTGTTCCACGTGTACCCTTTTTCTCCAAATCAGCTCCCCTTAAACTTCTCAGTGCATGTTAAATTTTTGACAAATTATGAGAAGTCATTCATTACCACGGAGATGCTGTTTTATTTCTCTTGGGGTTTCAACTGCAGGATGATGATATTCAAATTTTTGATTAAGTGAATTAATAGCGTGACTGTTTTTCTCTTTAGTTTGGTTTTAAAACCGAAACAGGATATATTCAGAAATCAAACACAAACAAATCCTGATCCATGGTTTTCTGATGTGATCAAGTTCATTTACCAAATTGCAGTTCAATTTTTAAATTATTTTATAATATAGATAGGACCCTGCATGTGCTCTGATTGGTCAAAAACCCATGTTTTATCAGAGTATGAAACATAGAAAAAGCGTGTTTTATTGTTTTTCGTACATAGTAAAGCAAATGAAGATGCCTAAGCCGTGTATTACACTGTGATAAAACACTTCGGACATTTGAGAACACTCGAGAAATGTAGAAAACATTATCCTGCGGCTCTTGTTTTCTATATTTCCCTCGTGTTTTATCACAGTGTAATACACAGCTTAGGCTTCTTTATTCGTTAAACACAACTGGGTTTGCTACTGCATGTTTGAAAATGCTAAACTGTTGACCTTCGTAAAAGCCAATTACAGATAATATGGTTTCCTTTTCTAAAAATGTTAGATATAAAGTTACGTGCATTTAACAATCATTTTACGAATATTACAGGTTAGATGAGTATTCTAGGACAGCCTTACCATCAAATGAACTCCAGGTATACACGTGGTAAGTCGTGGTGTGTTCTTTTTATTGCTAAATGTTACACTGTATGTCATATGCTTTGCATAACGTTATACCTTGTGCATTCACTCCTTTGGAGAGCCGATAAGAATAATTTAATTCCATGCGCTCAGCTGCCTCATTTTACAGTTACTCTGTAAGCTTGTGTGTGACCAGCCTTTGCCGATTAAATAGCTTTAGGTCAACTTTATTTGTGAGTTTATTATCCCTTGCAAAAAAATGTGTAGCAAAACAAACTCTTTAGGTCCTAAGCTCAGCACCTGAATTATTGCCTCTGATTTTCATGCAATTTGCCTTGAGGAAATACACCGATTCCAGAAAAAACCGGAAGTTGCATACAAGCAAGGATTAATAGCCCTTGAGCTTTCAAAATGGCGGACAAAATGTTGGGGAAGAACGAAAAAATTCGGATGTGTGTAGGTTAGAGCTTCTTTTCTGGAGCAAATGTGATAAAGAAAAGGAAAAGAGTTGGACACAAGTGTCGCGTGGCTGCAAACTCCAATAATCGAAGCAAAAACCGACCTGATTTATCATTTCCATGACTGAGTTTCCTTCGGACAAGCCAGAAAAACAAAGAATAAAAATGTGGGAAATACTTATGAAAAGGGGAGATGCCTGTTTTACCTCGGTAGGAAATAATTTTTTTTGTTCCGCGCACTTCTTGCCAAATGATTTTAAACTGAGTACACTTATTGAAACTGGGAGCCGTATCCTTGGTTTTTCCTTGGACAAAAGTTGATGAAGAATCTCTGTGTAGAGCGAAAAGATATGAGGCATCTGAGTCTGGCAAAGAGGAAGTGAATACCCATCAGCTTCAATCGACTAAGGAACTAATCAGTCGTCATGCCTCTGAGGTAAACAAAGAAAGTTTCCCAAAAACAATGGTGACTGTGGAAGCACATTAGTGATTTAAATACAGCCATTGATGAATTTTGAATCTTTTTTACTTGCTTAATGTTTCAGCAAGATCTGGCTTTTAGGTTTAATATTTCAGAACTAGTAGTGTCAAATAAATTATTGCATGGGCCAATTTCCTGTATTTGATGTTGGGGAGCCTGCCCATTAATTATTTACCTGAAGTTTTTTAGGCTGAATCTGAAAACTTAAGGTGCAGAATAAACTGCAGAGAGATAAAAGGTCAGACACCTGAGACCTGGAGAAGCAGAGTGAACTTTACTCAGAATATAAAAGTCTGACAACACATTTTAAGGCCTTGTAGGAATTTTTCTTAATTTCATGGATTTGATAGACAGCATTTACTGGCAAGCAAGAAGGTTATAATCTTCATCCCTCATATGCAACCAAGTAAATCAGAACTGACAATAATTTTACCAATTTTCTAAGGAAGACTTTTTTTCAACCATGAACCAGAACTGCAAATGTAAGAATACAAGCTGAAATGGCTATTAGGAGAATAAATGGATGGCATATATTTGATGGTGTAACTCTACTAAGGTTGTGTAGAGTTGTTAATCAACCCTGGGTAATGAGCTACTTGCTTTTAAACTAGCAGAAAAAAAGTTATCTAATAATTCCTGACACCTAATGTGTAATTTGTCATTTGGTAGTGAATGTAAACAGAGTACATGATATTGTTCATCAGTGGTAATCAAATATTTGGTGATTTCCACCATACTGAAATTGTGCATTATGTGGCTTCATGTGCTATTTTCTGGCACAGGGTGTAACATAGAAAGACACATGGTAGAGATGGTGTATAATTTGCTAATAACATAAATGTACAATTGAATTTGACCTCATTGAGAATTTCCTACATTGTATGATCTTTTAGATTCCCAATTGTTTTGAACTATTTTAAAATATTCATTCAAATATTCATTATCAATAATAATAATAATAATAATAATAATCGATATTTAAACAGGGTGACCCCTTCAGTCGCAGGACTGGTATCAACGGGGGCCCTGTATAACATAAAATAAAAAGAGCATGTATAAATAATATATATCTATAAAAAACTAACTACTTTAAAAGATACGCGGAAATGTTTAAAAAATTAAAAAGCTTAAAAAGGTAATAGCGTTCTCATAAAAATTGGATATCGAATTGAAAATGTTCTAAAAAATAACCTAAGAAAAAAAATCGGAGATAGCCTTGAAACGTTCCTTAGGTGGCATCAGAGAAAAACTAGAAGTAGCTGAATTCTCTCACATTAGATGCTGGRCAAACTTATTTGAACTTTACTGTACATTATTTATTCTGGCTTTAGCAATAATCACATCTTGTAAGGCCATCTCTCAGCATTAGGTAAGCCAATTCATATTTAACATATTTATCATAAATTGTTCAATATTCTTTAGCATCTCCTTCCACCATTCTATGTCCAAGGCAATTTGCTCATTAAAAATTCTTAGTTACTTCCAATATATAGCCAGGACATTCCAAAGTCTGTTCACAACAAAGAGTAGTTGCTGTACATTGTACATCATAGACTGAAGTACATTGTTTACTTTTAAACCAGTGTCAAACATTTTGCATATTGATTTTATAAGGCAATCTTTCAGGGTCTCACCATCCACAACAATGACATTCCTAGCTTAAATCATTTCATAGAGACTGGTCTTACTTGGGTCTGTAACCAGTCCAGCTGGGGAGGCCCCCAAAATTTCCCTTTTCCGGTGAACAAAAAAAAAAGCATTTCGTTACTTGCACCTTCGTCTATCCCTGTTGATGTATTATTTCAGTGTACGTGCCCATTACTACTTTCATGGCGTGTGACTGATAGTCTTTGTTACACTGCAGTACACTTCATTGATAATTTTATTGGTGATTTGACTGATGAATCAGCTTTGTGATTGCGTCCTACCCTGTAATGCAATGATGCTGTCTCTGTGCCGAACCCTTGTTCATACCATTCTTGGCGAGTAGGTTGTGGTCTTGTTTGATACTCTGATTAGCATCTTTTGAACTGAATGATTTCTCTTTATTCTCTAACACTGATTGTTAATTTATGAAGAGAGATTGGATGTTCTCTAACTGAGAAGACTGAAGTCATCAGTGAAAAATAAATCAGCTGTAGGAAATTTGTTTAAGTGTTTTGTTGCAATATTCCCAATATACGGCACAATTTTTAAATTTACTTCTGTATGTTCTTTCAAGCTCTTCCTTCATCAGGTTTACTACAGCAACTTTAAGCTACTGTAGCTTTAGTAAAACTATTCTGCAGGTCAGGGTCGTAAATTTTTAAAATTTTCATTTCATTCAGATTCTTTCCTAAACCGACCATGAACAAAGTTCTTGTAGGCAATAAAAATGGTGAGAACAGGTCGTTTTTCCGCATATTAGAGATCGAGACAATCAGAAGAGCTAATTTGAACGACCAGCAAATTCATCAAACGTACATGATGCCTTTCAAGGCCACTAAAGATATTACCGTGCCTCTGTGTCTCGGTTTAAACCTCTGTACAATAATTGCAAAATATTATATTTACACCGCTTCAAAGAATGGAAAACTTACCCGTCCAAAAGTTCCTTAGTTTGCCCCGTTGAGTTATACGGCAACTTTTAAGCCAGAATTTCAATTGGCTGAGTGTCAATTTTTCAATCTGTTCTTCGCTCACACTGACGCCGGGAATATCATCAGAGATTGGCCTTTCTTCTTCGTTCACCATGTTGCTTTGAATATTTACCGTGAAGGCTATTAAGCCTCGTTTTGGTGCGACTTCTGGTTTTTTTTTCTGGAATCGGTGTATTTGGTTGTTCATTAAGACAGCTTTCCAGATATGACCAGGTCTTACACTCTCACAACGTTCCTACAAGTCATGTACTGGAATTTGTGAGAATCTGTTAAGGGAAGTTAGGTATTAATCAGCACTGGGAATTACTATGAATTAGAGAGAAGTAGCTTAATGATTGAGCTGTATATTTCCCCTGATCCCTCAAGTTCAGTCTCGAAATGGTTTTGCTCATTTTGCCAAACAATGCATACATGTGCCCATTGACCTCACCATAAATATTTATGGAGTCAAGTGACCCTGTGCTTTGCACAAACTGTGCCCTGAGACAATTTCTGTATTTGGTTTCATTGTAGGAAGGATGCCACACTGAAAGAGCTCATGAGTCTAGTCAAGGAAGTAAACCCAGATGCAAGACGTAAAGGCACAGTGTTTGACTTTGCCATTGTATTTCCAGACGCTCGTCGTGGTGGGTTCATAATGAAAGAAATTGGTTCAACTGCAGCAGGACGCAAGGGGACAGATGATACTATTACTCTAGAATCCAAAAAGTTTCAAATAGGAGATTTCATTGATGTTGCTATTCAGTCTCCAAGAATTGGAAGGAGAGATAGGCCTTACTAACACTGACAACTTCTTGTCACTGCGTCTTTGAATGGGTAAAGAAAGCATTTCTTAAGAGACAATATTACTGTCTTTGCCTATTTTCAATAGTCTTTCAGCATTGAGATGTTTGGTTTTAATTTATTTTGAAATTTGTGTTGAAGTAAACCCTTTTTTGTATGTCTGGACACTCAAGTAACTCACATATTTGAAGATTTTTAACATTATGATAGCTTCAAGTTGTTGTCTTGTGTCATGAAAGAACAGACTTAAAGTAAGCTGACAGAAGTTGAACATATGTTTAAAGGTAATACATCAAAGCTATTCTTTAAAAACAATCTGCTTTAAGATGCAGAAAAAAGGCTCAGTTTCTTTTGAAACATTACTTTTATGATCTTTTGCAGTATACATGTAGTGACCTTGCCTTTGTAAACAAATTCTATAATTTACATGTATTAGTCTAGTTTGAATAAAACACTCTTTTTCTAAAACTGAGCTGGCTAGTCTACTTTGATACTCTGACGGAGCTCTTTATCTTGGTCACAATAGGTAATGCACTTCCAGTGATAGAACTCCTGTTTGCTGGAGACCTTGGTTTTGTTGTTCTAGACTTAGTTCTTGATTGTGGTGTGCTTCTTTGAGAAGGCATCTGATTAGAGCTTTGAAATGGGAGACCAACATCAGGGTTGATTTTATTGTTGTGGACTCTTGCTGAGGAATGAAAGTACTATTTTATTTTAAATGCAGATATACAAAAATAGAGAAGTTCCAGAGAATTAAGTTGTCATACAAACAGTCTATGTAAAGGAAGTAACTTTAAGATGTTTAACTTTGATGCTTTGGATTTGGGTGGAAAACCTAAAATGTGACTGTGTGCTTGCAAATTTATCACCACTTCTCAGGTAAGATTGCTCCGTATCTTGAGTTTACAGACAGTTTATCTCTTACAGTGATTATTTCACATCAAATTATGTTTCTCTCCTAGACAAACACTGTAATAAACTTGTCCTATATTTAATCTACTTTGAATATAACAGATTTTACCAAAGAAAGGTTTATGAAATGAAAGCTATTGAGCAGTAGTTTCATTCGCAAGGTAATTTATTTTCAGTCTAATTTCGGTTAATTCTGAGACTAATTTTGCTGGTTTTAACATTGTAGGGAGTGGTAACCCCAAATGTAAAGTTAGTGGGAGAGAGGGCCCTAAAGTGGGGTAGTGGGGGAGTACAAATCCCATTTCCTAGTATATTTTTTGCCCAAATTTCATTTACATTCCAACATTTTTATTTGTGATTCCCAGTGCCAATGACCCAGATCCTATTTTCCCCATTAACAAAAATAGGCAAATCCCCTACAGGCCCCTTACATGACAAATATGACCATTTTGCAAGACGAAGTTACTTACACATTAAATCAGGATATAGCTCTGGCAGGTTGTTCAGCAGTGGCTCAAATGTTGAGAATTCCGTCCCTGTTACGCTGTCCATCTTTTCTACAATAAGGACGTTTAACACTTTAAAACCGGTTTAAAGTGGCGCTTTCATCTACTTGAAGTATGAATTTGAGAAGCCAAACACGTTGTTAGACCCCTAAATATGGCTGAAAGGAATGAGTGGATAGCAATAATGAGGAATTTAAATGCGTGACTTGGCTTAGTTTCTGATCAAGTTGTACATGTACCAAGAAAGCTTTTTTGTAGCATTTCATTTCATGATAGAGTTAACGTTTTCAGTCTTGACTATGAAATTGTTGTGAAACTAATTGTTTCATATCAAAGATCTCAATACTGGGTACTTTCCATTCAGCCAAAAACCCCGGAGCTTTCGAAACAGGAGAAAAATGATACGGAAATTTCCTTGGAAAGTTCCCGAAAAATCAGAAAATTATATTTTCCGAAATGCGAACCACTCAACTGAAAATTCATGGTTGAAAATCAAATGGAACAAAAACTCCCGGTACATTTTTTTTTCGAAGATTTGGGAACTAGCTCGCGAGGTTGTCCTTTTTTTCTGGAATTTTGTGGAATTTTCCCAATTCTGGTCACATAAAATATAAACGGGAAATGGAACCGTCGGCGGGGACGGATTAACAAATGTACTGAATCGTTTAAGACATTACTGTAAAAGCTAAGCTTACTCAAAACTTTGAGAAGCACATAATTGCCTCTTCCTTGAAGATATTCCGCCGCAAATTGATCCGGTGGTCGTTCATGGATGCATTTCAGCGAGCCGTTTTCATCTGTGATGTCCACCACAGCTGACAAGAGAAATGTTAAAGATAACTTTAACTTTTCTGAACTACGGGGCTAAGCAGGTGCTGTGATATGTGAGCTTTTGATTAACGCTCATCTTCCAAGACTAGCAACGATTTTAATTTTATAAACTTGTGGCGATTAATAATTTTTGATGGCAGTTGATTCAGGATTCACCTTCTTGCTCGCAACCACATCGAAGTTTGATGTTTTCATACAATATGATACTCGGACAGAGAAGGTTGAAAAGCAGCTTCTGGTCATCTACTTAGGAAGTAAAAAGAAAATTCTGTAGTAAATTTAGGAACTGAAGATAACTGAGAATTTCACAAATTTTCGAGCTTACCTCCAAAGTGAATCGTTATGAAGGACATTGGCTGATAGTTGCTCCGTTATATCCCTTTACACTATGTAGTTTACTAGTTTCAATTGTTGGCTTATAGAGGAACAACAAGACTACTTTGGCGTTTCATTACCTAAGAAAAATGATGCCGTACCGTCGTTAACTGAATCAGAAGTGGAAAAACAAGCTGCCTTAATTTTCGCGCCATTTGGTACGCACGCAGATAATGACGTCAAAAATGCGACAACCTACATACGCGCGAACTTGAGGTTGGCCTCGATACAGTATGCCCTCTACCAGGGCTAGGGGTGACACACTGTGCTTCAGTGCTTCTAAAATCGACTCAGTCGCTATCATACTAGTCATTATGCCGCAAAAGGTTCTTCTTACCTCCCTCCCTCCCTCCCTCCCGCGAAACAAACGTAATTTTCACAGAAGTGCAAACAACCTATATTACAAAATAATCAAATTGAGACAAACAGTAGCTCCCACGTAAGCGTGTAACATTCATGAACAAATACTGTGAGCAGCAGGTCGGTCTGATAAACGGACAATCAGATGGGTTTTACCTCTGACTAGTCCAATAGGTCCTGTAATACAAAGCTTTGTTACGTGACCAAGCGGCTTTTTCATATAGATCGATGGACACCTTTAGATAGGCACCTTCGTTTAAAAGTAAACATCTATAAGTAAATTTTCAGGGTAGTCCCTTCAGGGAGCTTACAAAGTAACTCTGCTATCAATAGGAGCCCTGAAGCTATTACCTAACATAGAATGCTCAATAATAGGATATATACAAACATAAAAGCGTAAATTTGAAATGGTCATGCAACAAAATGTGCTGTGGAGAGGGACAGGGGGTTAAAGAGAAGGGGTCGAGAACTCTACGGGAGGTGGGAGAAGAGACCGCGGGAAGGGGCCCTTTGCATCAAACGGTCACACGGTGCAAAATTCTGCGATGTTCAGCTCTGGGCTAGGTAATCAAAACAAAGAAAATTTAGGCTTGACCAGTTCAAGTAGGTTTGTCTAGGAGGGTGCCGAATACAAAGGGTCCAGTAGGAATACCAATATGGCAGGAGCAGTGAGAAAAAGGCAAAAAGAGGTGGGAAACGATAAGGAATGGGAGGAAACCGGGAGTTAAGGATATGGGAAGCTGGAAGTTCGAATACTCATGTTACCCCTGGCCCCTTTACCAAAATGGCGAGCATACATATATATATATATATGTCTAGCGACATGTTTGAAATATTGAAACGCTGTCATTTATTGCTAATTTTGGTTTTCACTGATGTATAAGACTAAGAGCGAGATTTTATGGCAGTTGAAGGGTTGGAGAATTAGATTGATTTCACTATGCTTGATGGAAAAGCTTTTATACAGCCCGTAACAATTTTTTTTTTACATATACATCAGTAAGTTATATATTCAAAAATTATTGATTTCCAAATTGGCAATCTTTTAAAGTACTCACCTCAGCCATGACAGCCTTCGCGCTCCATTCATTTCTGAAATCTATTTCGCACAAAGTCACGTATACACTTAAATGTGACAAAAAACAACAACAACTGAAACCCACATGCGCTTCTTTACAAGACATCTACGCGAAGTTCTGTAATGAGAGAAATATTAGAAATCCCTGGCCTTGAGAATTATGTTCTAAGTCGAAATATCGGCCACAATAAATCAGCCTTTCTACATTATTTTAGGCTCGATTTCCAGCCGTTTTGGGAGTCTGGTTGTTGATTCTCCTCCCAAAGAATTTGTAGAGATCACACCATTTAATGGTGTGATCTTGGACAAGCACATTGCATGTCTGCATTGCATTGGACAGTCGAACCTCACTAAGCGACTACTTTGTGTAAAGTTACCATCTTGAGTCTGTTATACGATTCCGTTTTAAAGTCCTCAAAATTAAATCCCCACTGGGCGTGGCTCGAGCTTTATTTGAACCCCTGACAACGGTTTTTTAATTATTTCTTCCAGTGCAACCCTAAAAGAGGGCAAAAATAGTGTCATTTCGTCCTGAACATCCTGAGTGAGACCAAAATCCTTGATTTACACCCCTGAGCCAGACGATGAGCATCCCCGACCTTTTCATACGGGAAACCCCCCCCCCCCCCCCCCCCCC